TTTTTTAATATATTTCAAATATTTAATCATTAACAGTGATCTACTTTATCGGTAATACGGTAACCAGCGTAAAATTGATAAGACGATGATCATCATACTATTGATAAAACAGTGACCATTATAATATCAATATTGGTAAAAACGAAATTCAAAAGAATTATTATTAACAATAATTATTAACAATAAAATTATATTATATATTATATCGCATCTCTATAAGCAATCATATTGCATTCATTAAAAAGATATATCTAAATATTTCAATGGATATATATATAATACATACCATTTGATATTTATATGATATTGTATCTTGATTGATCTTGATAATCGACTACATCACAATTTACACGTTTCTGTAGAAAAATTCGCACGCTGCTTAAGATAGTTAAACCACAATAAAAAAAAGAAAAGAAATAATTCTCTTATCTTGCATCAAATCACAGCAATGGATGTGCATTATTGTGAACGATCAATAATCTAATGATAAAAATGCAAGAACCACTTAACTTTATATTGCGATCATCATACGTTTAATTAAGATTCAATTACGTCCAATAATGTTGTACTGTAAGATTGATTATTTCATTTTAAAATTAAATATTTATCTATTATTCATCTTCTTCTCTCTCTCTCTCTAAATAAAAAGAAACCGAAATACTGAAAAAATATAAATATCTTATATATCCCTTAAATGATGATCCAATTAAATAAAAAAATCTTAATCAACACGATCTGTTAAAAATTCTATAAACTTATTCGACAATAAAAGGTCCTTCGAAGGATTGGCCCTGCGCAATATCGTTTAAATTTTCCCCTGCGTATGAAAACAAAGGTGACACTTCGACATCGCCATTAACTTTTTCAGCACCTGCATTCAACAACCACTTTTTGTGGAGCTGAAGTAAATCGTGACGTGCAGTAGACGGACAATCCTGTTTAGCCGAATCTGAATTCTTAAGGGGACTAAATTCTTCCTCGCGCACTCCTTGCCAAGCAGCGAAATTTTTTGCGAACTTAAATACATCAAAAACAAACTTTTCAATTTTAATACCATTAGGACTCGTTGGAGTGCATCTTTTTCCATTCTCGTCAATATACGGAATCTTCTTCTTGGCACCATGCAAATCCACAGATAACTCGTACGTCTCACCGAGGTCCAATAAGAAATCTACAGTAAAATAATGATTACAAATATTGGCAGCATTGAAGACCAGTCGACCGTCGTCTCTTCTTAATTCCACAGTTTCCTTCGATATTTCGCTGTATTCAACAACTTGATAATGGTCCTCGACCTGAAACAGAAAATGATTGAAATGTTAATAAAAATATATAAATAACATTTAACAAATTGTCCTTATTTTTATGTACCTTACAAACAACCCCCACTGGTTCAGACGGTGATGATTTTTCTATAACTTTAACACCGCAATCCGTTTTAACGGATAAACAATATCCCAAAAAAATAGGATCTGCGACCTTTACTAAGATATTATCTACGGAATGTACGTGAACACTACGAATACTGCGTTCTATCATGTCATCTAAAATACCTTCGAGTTTCAATGCTTTGTACAATCCACCATTACCGTCAGGCGCCCTGGATATCTTATGTTTCTCATCTAAAATGATTTTTCCATCTAAAGTGAAACAAGGTATCATACCTTGTTTGAAGGCCTTTACATTATTTTCTTTTAAACCAAAATAATGATTCTCTTTAAGATAATTGAGGGTGGAATCGTGCGTAGCTTCGCTGGTCATAATATACCTGATTTAATAATTATTTCAATAATACACGTATATTAATAAAATATAATTGAAATAAATAAATGATAAACTTAAATAATATCTACCATAATATTTCGCCTTTTTTCCCACAATATTCCTCTGCCAAAATTTCCAATCTGCGTATTCTTTCAGCTTGTAATTGAAACAAAGTTTTTTGGGATGGCAATCCAACTTCGAACATACCTTTAGGAAAGGTGACACCCAAACGAGTACCTTGTCCACCAGCTAACAACAAAACTGCAACTCTTCCATCTGCGACTTCTTTCAATCCCAAGGAACGATAATTTTGTATTTCTTCATTGGTACACGCTTTTGCGAAAACAATCTTACTATCCGGTATAGGTTTTATTTTATCGTCCAATTTATTATTAACAGCAGTTAAGGAAGCAGTAGCTTTATCGAAATAAGATGTTAATTCAATTAAATTTAAATCAGAAATATCTCTCTCCAATGCGTCTTTTTCTTCCTTCGACAATTCATTCCAATATCTTAACAGATGGTCCTGACCATGTTCCATGAGTTGACTTTTTAAATTCTCCATGATTGTTGAAAGGATAATTTTAGTTTGACACTAAGGAATGATTTCTGTACAATGGAATACCGTTATCTCTTAAGTATTATCTGTTATAAATTTTATCAAACGGTTGATAATAAAACTCTTTAACAGGAAATGTAAAGAGAACACGCGCACGCATATATGTGTGTATGTATGGGTCGACGATAAAGTAAACGAAACGACGTGCGAGAGCAACAGGTATGCAACAACAGGAAGAGCGAGCAAGAACAGAAAACTTGTCCATTAAAACCTAACTTAACTCGACACAAACGCAACACCTTTACTTTCACAATTCCACGTAGCAATAAGCTTGATTCGATTTCTCTTATCGATGTCTGTCCGCCCCTCCAACCATCCGGGCACGTAAATAATTCTTCTTTTTCTTCTCAGCATATCTTCTTGTAATGTTCTTTCACATTTACCACATTGAGGATAGGTACGTTGACATTTCCAGAAGTCACCTTTCCCTCATGATCTTTTTTTATATTATTATATTCTTTTTCATATAGATGAAGCCAAAAAAAAAAAAACAAAAATAAATTAACATTTATACGCTCGTACAATTTTCTATTATTTTCTACCATCATTTTATCATTATTATTATTATTATTAATTAAATATTTGCATTTTCTGCAATTTTAAATATGGCGTCTTACCTGTGCCGAAAAAAAAGAAAAGGATAAACGATCAAAGTGAAAGGTGAAAGGCTGGGGAATTGAAATGCAGGAATGCGACCTTTATCCTTGAGGAAACCTGTAAAATAATAGAACGACGTTACCACAGAGTTTATTTTAGAAATATATATATATTTCAATGAAAATATTACGAAAAACATACAATCGATTAATCAAACCTCACATTGTATTAGGACGTTGTTAGGTACTAACAATATGCATTATATACGTGTCATGTTGTATGTGTGTTGTGTAATTCGCATGCGCATATGAACCAATTAAGATTGTTCGTTACCTTTCAAAGTACGTACAACTTAAGCGCCACGCGTGGATGAAATTTGAATTAATAGCACCGGCGGGAAAATATCAAACTGCAATTATGCAATTCAATTGCAGTTTGATGGCTAACCTATAAAAAAAATAATAATTAATATAATTGTGATGATGCATTGTAATTATTATATAAATTTATAATTAAAATAAAACGAGATATATTGTTCATAACTAACAGATTAATTATATCATATTTTTGAAACTTTTTTTAATTTATCTGACAACAAAATTGCTTACAAGATATTGTTCTTTTTTTATCGAGAGAATAATTTATGAATTAAAATAATGTTATCTATCAATTGTGGTATCAAATTCTCTACAAATATTTAAGATGTTTAAGCTATATTTGCAAATTCTTTAACTTCGTTAATATCTGACAATGCAAATTTTGTTATCGCTTCTTACGTTATGTTTTCTTAACCCAAAATATTTCGAAATCATTTTCTTTTTTACACATAACGGTTAACATTTTGTAACGGTATTTACCCATTAGTATTTACCGTTATTTATTCGTTTCAACTAAACAAAAGTATTTAAATAAATGCTTAATGTTATTACAAAAAATTTATCTTAAATGTTAACTGGCTTGTAACGTATTGACTTAATAAAAACTATAAAAATAAATTCAACTAAAGAAATTTGTAGATATTATTTATAGGAATATAAATCAGATGTCGCTATGAGAAATTTCCCATGCGATTTTACCATCGGTAATAACCAAAACTGAATGTAACATTCTAAACAATATTTCTCAACGAAAATACCTAATATTCCAACGAAAAAAAAACCCATAAAACTACCTATAACAAACGAATAAAACCCCCTAAAAAAAAGAAAAAATAATATAAAAAGAAAAAACTATATCTTAAAAAAAAAAAAAGAAAATTAAAAGAACTTTCAAAAAGAATAAACTTAACCGTAACATACACACATAGTTGATCAATTATTCGTTTAGTCGCTCGTTCCACGCCCATTTCATTTCTCAAAGAAACTTTCAATTATTACACGCAAATACACACCCATATACACACGAGAGAACATATAAAATAATTAATAATAAATTGCAAATGAATGAAAAGAATTAAAAACAAAAAATTTTAATATGTAATCACAACAAAATTCGCTCTATTATTAATTTTAATATATAAACATTAAACATTAGTATAGTTGCATATAGTTCCTAGAATTTTATATAAAATTAGTATACAATACATAACATATAAAT